TGCGTCATCTCAAGTCTGCTGTAAAAGCAGCGCTGAAGACCGTAGTCAACTTCGAAAGAGACACTAAAAACAACCAGTGGATATCAGCAGCTTCCTCCGAACTGATGGATGCACGTGAACGCATCCCTGCAGGCTCTGAGTACAATGAAGAGAGGGCGGGACTTAAAAGTGGATTGAGACAAAGTCTACGCAACGATCACGAACAGTGATGGGCAGAGAAGGCTAAAGAGATGGAAAAGGCAGCGGCGATTGGTAAGAGTAGACAGTTATTTAGACTTATTAAGGAAACGGGGGGGGGGAAGGTGAACAGTGGTTAGTGAGACTATAGCAAAGAAGGACGGGTCTGCGATTCACTCACAAAGGAGATGACTGGAACGATGGGCAGAACACCTCGAGGAACAGTTTAACTGGTCTCCAGACACCATTGTGTTGCCTGCTATCCAGTTGAACTGTGAATGGAACATTGAGATAGCCCCCCCCCCCCCCAACACTTGCAAGAGTCGACAAAGCGATAGGCAACTTGAAACGAAAAAGGGAAGCAGGACCAGACGGACTAACTCCTGAAGCATACAAGGATGGTGGTAGAGTGCTCTTAGTCAGGTTAACGGAAGTGTTAACCAGTATATGGGAATCAAATACGATCCCCTGACTGGTCTAAGTCACTGATTATCCCAATCTTCAAGAAAGGCGAGAAGTCCTCTTGTGATGACCTCAAAGGAATCAGGATGACGAACATAGTGTCTCAGATTCTAGGTTCTATAATTATTCGATGCCTGAATGGAGCTCGGGAACAGCAAGCCTGAGAAAACCAGTCAGGCTTTAGACCCGGTCGCAGGTGCGTCGGCCAAATATTCACACTACGCCATCTTCTGAAACACAGACACGCTTACCGACACCAAAAAGTAGCTGTATTTCTCGATCTGAAAGCGGCAGCATTCGTCGGCGTCGATCGAGAAGTCTTATGGCAATGTCTCTCACTGAAAGGTGTGCTGAGTAAGTACATTACCTTATTGAAGGCAAAGCTCTACTCGAACACTTGTGGGCGTGTTAGAGCCCATGGTGAGTTGTCCAGGGAGCTATGCTCATCGAGTGGTGTTCGTCAAGGGTGCCCACTGTCTCCAGTCCTATTCAATTTTATCATACATATTCTTATGGAGGTCTCCCTCTCGTCACCTGAGTACAGAGACGTTGACCTAATAACAGGAGAATTGTCGTTAGACTTAGAATATGCAGATGACACAGTCCTGTTACGTGAAGACGTTGATAAGATGCAGAGTCTTCTGGACACTTTGAGCAGCAATTTGAGAATGTTTGGTATGAGTTTCTCACCACCCAGATGCAAATTGCTGCTCCAGGATTGGTCTTTGACGGTGCTACGACTAACAATAGAGAGTGTAGTGGTTGAGTGTGTTGACCACTTCACTTACCTGGGAAGTAGGATCAGCCCTACCCTGATGGCTGGCTCAGTGGCCGGTGAAATCTCTGCATGGATACAAAAGGCTCGACTGGCTTTTATCAACTTATGCCACCTATGGCGCCGCCGTGATATACAATTGTCTATTAAGAGTCGCGTATACTCCATGGTAGTCCGCTCTGTTCTACTGTATGGCTGTGAAACATGGCCATTAAGGGTGGAAGACATGAGAAGGCTTCAGGTGTTCAACCACCGTTGCCTTCATCATCATCATTAACATAGGACCTTCGTAGTATAGGTCATATTCCGTGGTGTCACAACCTGAGTAAGGCAGAAGTCCAGCTCAGGCGTAGAGTTTTAGGCAGAAGAGGTGAGTCAGTTGACACGGTTGTGAACCTTCATCGACTGAGATGGCTGACTTTGACATGTGTTACGTATGCCTAGTCGCCGATTGCCTCGTAATACAATGTTGGCCGAAGTAGGTTCAGACTGGAAAAAGGCTGGAGGCTACCAGACCAAAACATGACACCAACGTATGAAGTCTTTGACTGTTGGTTTGAACCACGTATGGTTCTCATTCTTCCTTTCTCTCTTTTAGTACTTCATATTTCTTTTGACTGAATTTTTTCATCTTCAACTTCATTGGCTTATTACTTGATGTAGTGATATGAGGTGTGGCAACTCGGAGGGTTATGTAGTAATCCCTGGTCATATGTTAATTTAGATGAAAAGAACCAAATATTTATTACTATCCTTTCAAGAAGTCCAGCCAAAATATCTCGGTGAAGCCACAAGTGATATAGTTGGGCAAATGGAAAAGCAATCTATTGTTTCAGGAATGAGATTTTTTAGGCAGATTATTCACTTGACCTGATGCAAATCCCAGTTAGTAAATAAGTCAACGAAACTCACTACTTCACACCCTAACTTTAAACCAGGGGTCGGTGACGACGTTCTAAAGCACTACCTAACATTTGACAAGTGGGGAACATATGTCGAACATAATATTTTTAGACGTTTAAAGTTAAACGAATGATCGCGCTTTAGTTTAAAGTTTAACATAGTTTATCGTAACTTGTTTTCTTGGTATCAGAAAATCCACACTATATCTCACAGTAACTTCCTGGCTGTTTCAACAACTGTTGTAATTTAATACTTGATGATGGTTTTAAGGAGATGCAACTATTTTCTCAAATAATGCGATATAAAAAGGATTGCAAAGTTGAAGGTGCATGTACAAAACTGTGTCTTGAAAATAAAAAGAAGACTGTCAAATTTACGTAATAATCCAACTAACCATATCGCAATACATTCTAAGCTTTTGACTAGGATTTGAACTTGACATATTGTGTGTTTATCAAAACAGCAAGAAATGTAAACGGTTACATTGTCCGCAGTCATCGACATAGTTATTGCAATACAAGAAAGCTTTGTCTTACACGTGCTGAGAAGGACCTAATCTAACTCAAGAACATCTCTTTCAATATTTTCTAAGGACTATGTGAAGCGAAAACAGCTGCAGTGAGGAGACTCCACATGCACCTCTCATGAAATAAGTTCAGTTCTACGTTAACCTTACGAAAACCATGCGATCCCAGTCATTAACCTCAACTAAGACCTTGCTTCTTAAGGCCAACATGAAATCCACAATATTGCTGGAAAGGTATTCCTTACGGGAGGTTAGTTTCTTTTCCACTAGGTTGATCATTACAAGGAAGAATAGTGAAATTTCTAAGGAACGTCATGTATATTCTCGTGCAATAATCTCGAGAGACTTTAAATTTAAGCAATTTCCTCTGAATTCCAAAAATTCTATGTGGTTCGCCAAGAACTGCCTCAAGTTTAGGTAATTTTTGAAATTTTACCAAAACGATACAGTTTTTCAGTTTTCTCCAAATTGTGTAATTATCCCTTAAATATCCTAATGATGATTTACTACAAGATCAGCACTAGTCGTTCACTACTTTCCTCAATAGGCTCTACATTTTAAAAGATTACATCCAATATCTTCGAATCCGCATAACTATAGAACTTTACCGTCCTTAAGTTACTGTCAAATGACCTAAGACGCACAAATAAAAGGAAATAAAATGAAATCTGGAGTAGAAGCGGCTTTTCCAACAATATTAAAGACTCCCTCAGATTAGTTTTTTTTTTAAATAAGGCGAAAATATGTCAGATGAAGATATCTATCTATGTGACATGAAAACTAACCATCCGAACAATGGTTTGAATAAAGATAGACCTTTAAGTGGCTCTTTATCACCTCTAATTGTTTGTGCGGACCCCATAGAAAGATTCAAAAACACGATTAAGAGATTTTAACAACAAAAAAATTCATGGCATTGAATATTAGTTTGATTTCGGAAAAGGCTTAAAAACTAAGTCAGAAGGCAGTTGAATGCCGAAAGTAGAACCTTTTTTGAGCTACTTGGAACTGAATGTTAAGGTTTGCAGAGCTAAAGGTTGTAATTAGGTTTCAGTGTATAGAACTTAGAACGTACTCTAACGTGAACCTTCCGTTCAGTTTAACCTTTAATGGCAGATAAAACCGCCCAGCCAACATTTACTTCGGGCACACTTACCGAATTTCGGGTTTCCCTTAGATTTCTACTTATTTCCGGTAACCGTTTTCACTTCACTTATTCGTAATACACAAACATGCGGTAATGAAACGTGAACGATATAAATAATAATATTGCCAAATATGGCTTCTCAGAACTGTGGATATACGCTATTCCCAAACTTGAGGTGCACTGCCTACACTTTGTAAACTTCGGGCGCGTTGCATACAGTTTCGGGGAAAATGTTGGAAATTCCGGGGAATATCCTGCGTCTCCCCATCTAAGCCCGAAGCAAAATTTCTGAGGTTTTGCCCAAAACTTACAATGTGCACCCGAAGCAAATGCTGGCTGGGGACTTGAAAAATCCTAGGATTAGCAGGTCGTGCGAGGTGATAGTATGGGAAATAAATCCTTTCGACTCAATCGAAACTATCATCATCAAGATTTTGTATAATTAACCAAAATTAGGTTTGTACGCAGTCAGCGAATCCCATTCAGTAATTCACAGCTTAGCAGAACGACCAAACAGCCACCTACAACTTGACTGAATACTTTTAGGTTTTATGCTAGTCACCCAATGACCGTTGCCATCGATATCAAAACTATGTAATTCTAATCCGAATCGTCTGCTCAGTGGCAATATGCGCATAAAAGTATGATCTTTGGAAAATTGCCAAAAGATCGCTTCAAATAGGTTGTAGAGCAGTTTGCACCTAAACCTCAAAATAAGTTCTTAAAAACTAGTTGTAATTATTATTTGAATAATTCTTTATTGGGGGACCAATATGTAAGGCCCATCCAACAGCCAATTTAAGCGACTACACAAATTTCTATCTCATGAGAACTGCTTCTCTAATCTGAATAATCAAATAAAATTGGTGGCTTTATTAGTTTCTAGGATGATCTCCCAGGTTACTACAATTACTATAAGAGTAAAACTTGTGCACTGTGGTAGGACGTAATTTAGTTTTTATTAATTGATAAATCTAATAGATCAATAAAAATGGAATCATTATGATTACCCCGTCAACTGCTACCTCTTAGTGCGATCACTTCAAATCACCTTGAACTCAAACAGATCGCCTTTGGTCCACAATTTCCATTTATCTGTTTCCAAGAAATTGAGTATAGTACGCACCAACATCCAACATCAGTAGTGTCGAAAAGAGAAACTGATAGTTTTTCTATCCCTTGTGTCTAGTTCTTGGGGCTTTTTTCTCCGCTTTCAGTTCAATGTTGTAGCAGGCAAAGAAATCTCTTCTAGCATCCAATATTGTCAGTGCGAGGGTGAAAAACAGTTTTTGATCTCTCGCGTCTACTTCTTAGGCCTCGATTTGAGTTGTTCGGTTTGTTCCTGCACTGGGCAAGGAAATATATTTTGCTTTCTTGCTTCTAGCTTCAGTGAGGTGGATGTTTTGTGGGTTAGTGAGTTGCAATATGTAGAGCGATTGGAGAGCTACGGGTTTCCGGGACGATTAGGAGTTTGTCCTGACTCCTGTGTATGTGTAGATACTTGAATAGGAATCGGAAGGCAACTAGAAAAATTATGTTGGGAGTACTAGAAAAGTAAAAGTAGATAGCTAGAAAGGAGTTAGTAGATAATGTAGATGTATTAAGAGAGTTAGTGAGCGGTAGGTAGAAGGGGAGTGACGGTGAGCTAGTGGGGTTAGTAACTTTCTGGGCACATCCTTAGTAAATAGTGAGAAGTGAAATGACTGTCTAACTGCCTTTTGAATGAGTCTACCGAGGGGTCTGTCAGAACATCCCACAGCAGGGCATTCCAGAAGGCACATATTCCCAAGGAGAAAAAGTCGGACCTGAGCTTGGTGTTGCCTCTCTGATGTAATATCCTAACGGGGTTTTCTCGCTATAACCGCTGTGTTGCAGGTGAGGATAATCTGTCTGCTTGGTTTGGCTGGTGGATGATGTTGTAGGCCATAATAAGGTCAACCCTCTTTCTGAGATAACCCAAGGTGAATAGGTTTGGGTGGCATTCGGGCGCTTTGAAGAAGGACAGCGGGATTTGATAAACTTTGTTTAGTTCGTTATATTTGCTGTGTTGCGGTTCAGAACTCCCTAAACAAACATTTATCTACCCTTCATTCAGTCTAATGATAGTTCTGAAGGATGTCTAAGTGGTTTGTCGCAGAAATGTCAGCTGCTCAACTCAGACGATGGGTTATAAGCTTTGCTCTCAATGGACTCACTGCTCCTGTGATCATAGCCAGCCATCCGGTTACTATGAGGAACTGCTTGATAGGCCTTTTGGTGGAAACCGGTATTTCTGCCCATATTGTAGGTTCAAAAGTAAATACCAAAAATAGGCCGCGAGCTAGTGAGGCAGGGCTCCAATCACCTCATATTTGAGATCTCTGCGCAAGCCAGCCTCAGTCAAAAGAAGTCCCATGACCCTAAAGTTAGCAGTAAGGAAAGTAGCAAAATCAGGCTGTTCTGCTGTAGTAATCAGTCCCAATATTTCATGCACAAATGCAGGTAAAAGGTAGGAAGGAAGTCATCACGGTCATCGACTGCCTCCCTGCTAGCATGCCCCTGAAGCAGATCTCCTCAGTGATGAATCTGAATCCCACACCTGATAAGCGTCGACAGAAAGGCTTGAAGAAATGTAGGCAGGTTAGATGAGCTAAAAGCGAAACTTTGAGCAGTGGTGGTAAGCTCGGCAAAGTAACGACCATTCAGCACAACGGGAAGCCGAACTATAAGCTGATTGCTTCCCCCCCCCCCACTCAAGTGAAGAACGACCTGAAAAAAGCAGATCCCGGTCCCGCTACCTATGAGGGACAGAAGAAGCCGTCCGTATTTCATCAGCAGCCTTGGTCAATCCTTAAGGTAACTCTTACAGCCGGCAGCTCAGGTCATGCGAGTCACTCCCAAAAGGCCGACCAGAAATTTGAGTCTGCATTCACAGGGAGGACTAAGTCCCAAAAGTTAGACCATAGCCTGAGCCTTAGATCGCTTATCCGCTTTGACGTTCAGGAAAGTGGCTCTTCCCTATCGTCTGGTAGTGAAGAGCATGATCTCAGTCAATAGAGGAGTGTTTGCAAACGTTTTGGAACCTCGACCTGTAGTCCATCTCTGTAACGCTCAGACCATTCGTCAGTCCTAACACATCCTTCTTAAACGTCATCAGTTAATGTTGTCAAGATTAGGCCTGAGAGACCCTGGACGGTGAGGGGATGTCTTCGCAACAGCAAGGAACTCTACTCTCAAGGACTATGGTGTTCAGTAACCATATAAAGGGATTCCGAAATGTTCGGTCACTGGTACTGCTGAAGGTATCCATGACATAAATCAGTAGAGATATGTGGTCAACAAACTCCGAATCTATGTGAGGGCCGAAAAAATTAACCGTCTTCCAGGGCCGGCTCACCTCTCGACCATTCGTACTCCCAAGCTGCTCCAAGTAACCCTTGACTCTCCGGGCACGGTCAAAACTACCCTGGAATCCTGGTGTGATGAACCTGAGGCACTCCGTGCAGAAATTAAGACTGCAGAGTGAAAACCCAGGGGACAAATGCAGGCTGAGAGGCGATTCAAGCGCTTGGCTTTGGCCAGTCCATATCTAACGATCGAACAGTTGAACGATGAGCAAGAGCTCTTATCAACCTGTCCCAGATCTAAGGATCCTGCACCGGTTCTCAGTCAAACAGGCTGGTGGATCCAGTAGCTCATGGCTCTTCCCCCTACTAAAAACTTGTCAAAGCCGGCCACTTAAAGGCTGGCAACACATTCTTAACTCAACCTGCCTCTAGGACCCCCAGCCATTCTACCCTCATTCGCTGTGTCTATGGTAGCGTGGTTGGCTTGCGCTCCGGCATGTTGGAGTTAAGGTTGTTAGTTGATGAGGATGGCCCCAGCATAATGGCTTTCCGTGAGACATGGCTCACAGAGAACATAAAAGATGAAGAAGTTCGTTCAGGATGGCTCAGCCTAATCCGGATGGATAGACTAGAGGGCCCCCAGGGTGGCATCGCTGTTTACACCTGTCCTTCCTTGAAAGCCCATGAGATTCCATGCCACAGAATTGGCACTAAGGATGTTCTCTGGTGTAGCGTTAAGTGCTGTGGAGGTCCGTGCTTAGTTGGAGTCTTGTACCGCCCTCCTGAGCAGATGCCACCTTAAATAAAATGTTAATACAGTCCATTAGAGGAGTCCTGGAACTGAACTTCCCACAGGTCCTCATAATGTAAGATTTCAACCCTCCTCAACTCTTTACCACAGAAAGTCCATATACTGCTCTTAAAGACCTCTGGGAAGTATTGCTGGAAAACTCCTCGACTGGACATATTTCTCAGTGTACCCGCTGGGGGTTTGACGGTAAGACATCCCCGCTAGATTACATTTTCACAAATCACTCCATTGGGGCAACCAACCTGAATGTTCTCAGCCTTCTTGTGTTGAGTGACCATGCAGTTATTTCCCTCAATATTTCCATGTCTAAGCCACCCACTCCCGATCAGCCACTGGTCAGGAATTACAGGAGAAATGATTTTGAGAAGATTCAGCTAGATCCAGAAGATTCCTCTTGTTTAAGCTGTGATGAGCCACTGGATCTTGATGCCAGATGGGATCTATTGAAGGACACAATCCTTCAAACGGTAAATAATAATACTGCTCTGATTCCAAGAAGAACCAACAAGTTCTTCTCCTCCTGGCTTGGGTCAAGCACGTGCAAACTCATACGATATAAGCGATCATCCTGGAACCGAAGGAGAGACACTGATAGCCCCATTGACTGGCTAAATTATAAAGACATCCGTAACAGATGTACTATAAGAATCAGAGACGACTGAGTAAACAACAAACACAACTGTGTAGAACCCTGGAGTGGGATCATGGGGTAATGTACTCACTGATGAAAGAGAAAGGTAACAGTTCGTGTAGTATACGGTACCCCGGCAGTCTAGAAATCCTCCACTCTGACTCCCAGGTAGCAAACTTGCTAGCTCATGAATTCCGAAACAACTTCTGTCATTCGGGAGGGAAAACCACGTATCTATCGGGCACGCGCATTGCAGAGGGGCTAGACCATACAGAGTCTAAACCATCTGTAATTATAGAGATATAAAAAATTTGAACCCGAATAAGTCTCCAGGAATTGATGGGACTAACCCAAGAGTACCCAAAGAGTGCGCTGAAGTCCTGTGTGCCCCACCAGCAAACCTCTTCAGGTGCTTGTTCCTGGAAAGCACGCTACCCCCCGACTGGAAACAGGTAGCTGTCGCCCTAACATATAAAGGCGGAAACAAACTACTTGCCTGCAGCCACAGACCGATCTCCCTGATCTCCTCAGTTGCGAAGGTCATGGAGAAGGTCATAAATGGCTCATTTCGTGATCACTTACTTAAGAAATCAATCTTAAACAGCTGTCAACATGGTTTTTTACCTAGAAGGTCATGTAACACCAACTTGTTGATTGCTTGGAGTAGCTGAACTCTCTCTGTTGGGCAGGAAAGGCCCATTCACATTGTTTCACTTGACTTTTCTAAGGCATTTGACAGAGTAGATCATGATATTCTATGTAAGAAACTTTAGCTCATAGGCGTACACGGAAAACTACTAATTTGTCTCGGAGATTATCTTTACATCAGGGTGCAGTCAGAGTTGGTTCCTCTCTATCTAACTGGTTCCTGGTGCTGAGTGGCTCACCTCAAGGCTCTATTCTGGGTCCACTACTGTTTCCTGCTGTCATCAATGATCTAACAGGGGCCCTCACTTCTCACTCACTATTATATCGCGATGATATGAAGAGTTGAAGGGAAATACGGGTGCCCTCGGATATTTCGGTCTTCAAGGGGAGGCCTTACGAAAATCCTCAACTGGGCTACAGAAGACTGGCTCCCTCTCAACTTGGATAATGATAGCTGACGAATATAAAAGCAGCCCCAGTTCTTACTATGGGTGAAATAAATGTCCGTCACCATAACATTAAGAAAGATCGGGGAGTTACATCAGGTGACGCACTAGGGGCTTCAGTACACCCTCGTCTTGCGGCCAACAAGACTTATGCAGTCTTGGGGCTTCTGTCGCGAACTGAAAGGATTCTAACTCCGTCGCCTTTTACCA